GTGCCACCAGCGGCCATGATTTCAGGTGCTAAATGGGCTATTTCAATCCGGCCCAATTCAGCTCTATTAAGGGCCCAATTGGCCCCTAATTAAGTTAGTAAGATCACCTCCCAATCCTAACTTAATTTATGATTCTAACTATGATTAAGACAAGCAATTAGTCCGGTACGTCGATTTCTCTTTCGGTGATCCTCCGGTGAACTTCTCGGTGAATCTTCCGACATGCTTTTGGTAAACTCCCGACGAACTCTCGGTTAGTCTTCTGGCATGCTTTCGGTGATCTCCCGACGAGCTTTCGGTGAGTCTTCTAGCATGCTTCTAGTGATCTCACGATGAACTCTCGGCGAGCTCCCGGTATATCGTCCAAATATTTTACTTCGGCCCATCATCTGCTTTACGCCTTATTGCTATCATAGTTAATCCTGCACACTTATCTCAACACATGGATTGGATCAAATAATTTACCAATTGATTTTAGTATCAAAATCTGAGATTCAACAATTAGTTGTCTATTGCTTTGTCTGAGTTTATAGCCATCTTATAAATGAGCAAGACCTGACTCAAAGAAGTTGGAATCAGTCCCTCTCCTTGGGTCAGTGTTTGACTCTCCCACTCTATTCTTTGTTTAAGTGGGTGAGACCAACAACCTTTTATCTTATAGAAATAAATCTATGCAGTATTATTTTTTGGGTAAACAAAGCATTCAAGACTCCTTAGCGCCAAGGAAAAAAGAGAATGGCAAACCGACCACCCCCAACCAGAAGGGCTGAGGTGGTAATCCAAAGTCAAAGAAGGGATGAACATCCCCTAGAGGTTTATGAGGTAGCCCATCCGATAATAAATAGCTAGGACCATACGACTATCACCAAGGCATGCCTCAATAAGCATCCTGCCATTATCGCCTCGCCCCTCTACTACCATTATCGAGCCAACGATGGATGGAAGCTAGAGCTCCTTCATTCTCGAGCCCCGAAAGATCCCAAGATGGAGTCAAGAGGGATAACGTCACTCAACTCCAACACAGGGCAACCAATCAACATCACCCCATCCCTGTGTCTGAGGAAGCGTCCCTGATCAATACATATGACATTGTCCCATTGACCAAGGCTCCCTCTAGTGCGAAGTTGTCACCGCTTGGCTCAAGAGGAGGGAGGGATTTCCCTTGGTCGACCTGGTGATTATTGAATTTCAGATTTTGATGATGAAACAAATTGATAAAGTTATGATCTAATGTGCATTTAAGTGATGCAAGACTAGCTTCGATCATGAAGAGACAATTAAAATAGGAAGAATTAATGTTGGGTTGAAGTGGAACATGTCAGAAGATTGGACGTTGAGCCGGATGATAGGTTGACATATCGGTAGAAGGCTTCATGTCATGAGTTCAGGCATCGGGCCAAGAAGATCGAACATTGTGCCAAGGAGATCAGATATTGCGAGAAGGCAACATGCCGATTGGGCAATACATCGAAGGAGAGGACGATGCACCGAAGGGTCAAACGAAGCGTCGAATGAATCAATGACATATCGGATAATATATGATTAATGCTTTATAATAATGGTCTAGATCAAAGTAGTTTTTGTTCTAATTAGGTTGGTTTAAAATGTAATTAGGTAAACTCAATTATAGGCCAAAAGCTCATTCAGTGAGTCAAAAGTTAGGTCAAGCGGTGGCATCGCTAGAGGCTCAATCTCCAAGACAGTCTCCAAGACTATGTTAAGCAGTAGTACCGCCAGATTTGGTGGTACATAGTCTTCCAGACTATGTCAGGCGATGGTATCGTCAGTCTTAGCGGTGGTACCACCTAGTGTCAATGCTACAGGTGTTAGTACCACTCAGCACAAGCGATGGTATCACTAGGACTCGGGAAACCCGAGATGAGACCTTTTTTTGCTCCATTTTTGAAGCCATTTGGGGTCTATAAATACCCCGGCTATTCCTATATGGAAAAACATGAAATTGAGTTGAAAAAGAGGGAAATAATTCTTGTAAAAAAGTTATAAATCTTTTAGTATAGAGTCACCTCTTCCTAGTATTTAGAAGTTCTTCTAAAAGGAGAAATGAGGTCTAAGTGTAAAAGAGAGAAGTGTACAGTTCTCTCTTGAACCTATGAAAAGTAGAAAGATGTATAAAAGGGTAGTTGATCTTTGTCCATTGAAAGAAGATCAGTAGTGGAAGCCGGTGGCCTCGAGCGAAGAGGAATCGAGAGTGGATGTAGGTCACGATGACCGAACTACTATAAAACTCAATTTACATTTTTTTTATGCTTTTCATTTATATTGCAAACTGATTTACTTGCTTATTACTTTCACTATCTTACGAACATGCTTTCAAGTCAAGCATCTTTCCGATCGGTTTTTATCGAATGAGAATTTAATTTTATCGTAAGCACTAATTCACCCCCGCCCTTCCCATTTAGTGTGACTTGGTCCTAACAACAGCGATAGATGTCGATCAAGTTTGGGAGATTCCTTGAGAGGTAGCTGCCTAAAATTGTGACATGCTCCTCCTGAGTCTAATCAAA